GAGGTGGTTCTCTGTCCTTCTTTCCAAGCCCTATCGAATTAGAATCTAGACCAGAAATAACTGAAAGCAAAATTTTTAGTAGTCCCTCTCAAGCGTCTTAATTAATCAAAGTAGGAAAATACTGATCTCCAGAGACTTTGAGTGGAAGGTAGGGATATAGGGCTGGTGTGAGCCGAGTTAAGGTGTGTCCCATCCTGGGTGGGTGTAAACATGCCAAAGTGAATGCCCACCCCATAACACGTCTCTCATGCAGTAGTACAAAAATTTTCTTTGGAAGCGATTGATAATTCAATGAACAAATTTAGTAAGCACAGATTAAAAGTACAGTGACTGGGTTTTGGGGTCTATTTGTCACTTCTGTTATTATGGTGAAAAGAAAATCAGGCAAAATTAAGCTATGTGTAAGACATCATCTTTGAAATGATACAACAGGGTAGCACAATTAAACATCCCTCCAGGTCTAAAAATCTTGTATTATGATTATTTTACTGTTAGGAAATTAAGACTTTTCCAGTGTTCATTTATAGAATGAGTCTTATTATATATAATAGAATATGAAAGCCTATTATTGTTTCCTGGATAATTTTTCTGATTTGAGTGCCTTCACAAAACTCTAGAGTCTTCAGCATTTATAGATATAATAATTACTACAATTATAGAGAAATTACTATAATTATTACTGTAATTTATAACAGAAAAATTGTAGAGCTAAAGATTATTTAAAGTTATCTTTATAATGAAACACTATAATGCTTAATTTTTAAATTAATGGTTAAGGACACAAGCACACTCCATTGAAGCTTCCTTTATGGGCTAAAATGTGGACTTTTTTTTTTTGTATTTTAGGGAAGGGTCTGCAGGGTCTTCAGGGTCTCACTACTAGATCAGACTTACAGCAATCCACCTGTTTACAGTCTCCCAAGTGCTGGGATTACAGGCATGCGCCACCACACCTAGTCTCAATTGCCATCTCAGGGTGCCCCGGGGTTGGGGCCAGCACAGCAGGCCTGGGGATTGAACCCCTGACCCCTGTGCCTGCTTGCAGGAGCCTTAATCCAATGAGCTATTTGGCTGGCCCTAACATGGTATACTTTTAATAAATGTTCCTTGTGTGCTCAAAAAAAAGTTTGTTCCATTTACTTGATCTAAAATTCTATATACAAGAGCTCAAAGTATATTATTTATATTTATTTATGACTCATGCCTGGTTTTGCAATGATTGCTTCCTTTGGTTTACAGTGCTCTGCCATTTGCCTTTCTTTCAGTACTTGTGCTTCTTTGGAGTCCAAATGATTTGAGATGGAAGTTTATGTTCTCATGATCTTTGCCTGATCATATACTTATGGAAAAGACTTTGAAGCTCAGGTCCTAATCCAGGTCATGGTGACTACGAGAGATGAAAATAATCGTAAAGCCAGAGAGGCCTGGACAGACCCTGAGTTAGCTACTTGCACGTGCCAGCACTTAACTGGGGACCTCCTCTGGCCAAAGAGTCACCATAAACGTTTAAACAAATAACCCTAGAAACAATGACTGTCTCCAGGGGAATACAGAGTGAGAGGAGGGAACAGCCAATGGAAAATGACCTGCTTGCTCTATTTGTGTCAACTCCTGCCCAAAGCTAACATTGTCTGTAGGCATTATTGGCCTTCATTGCTGCTGCTGATCTCTGTGGCTTAGAAGCAGAGTGAGACTGAAGTCATCAAATAATTTGCCTTCATAACATGGTATATTCATGAAATATTATTCTTCAGGTTTTACAGAGGGCTTTGTGATGAAAGCCCCTGCAGTCCCCAGGCTGCTGCTGAGACACTTTTCTTTATTTCAGGCTACTTAGTGAATATTATTTCCTAGATGGAGCATAGTATTAAAAAGTATTAATTTCCCAAGTATATTGACTGAGTTGCTGACAATAATTGTTTAAGTTTTACTTGTTTAATTAAATACACTGAAATCATGGCAGCATGACATTGCTTGTCGTTCCTCCTTGGTATTTCATTTTCTTTCTATCACTATTACTCTCCTGTATTTATCATGCATAAGCTTTTTATGGCAGGTACAATCTGGCTTCTGGAACCCTGGGTTCTCATAAGTAGGGAAGCACATTTATCAGAGAGTAAATGCTATCAGCAATTCCTTCAAAATATGGCAAGAACCCAATGCCTATCTCAATGACTGTCAACATAGAGCACATATCTTTCCTGAAACACTGAATCATAATCTAACTGCTCCCTTGAACCTCACTTTTTTCTCTTTATTTACTGTTAGTAAGGTTTTTTTTTTCCAAAAGTTTATTTTATTTTGAAGTATAAAATCAAAAACAAAAAACAAATAGCATGGTCTTTAGAAAAATGTCTGTTAAGCATGACTCAAACATGACGAGAACACTCACATGCTCCAGACTCTGCGTGTCTGTCTGTGCCCCTGACAGTGACAGACTAGCACTCACATATTCCTACCAAACTCTTGCTTTCTACATGTTCCTTAAAGTCACAAATCACTTGTCCTCACAACATTACCTCAAGTTAGACATGTCACCATCACCAAGATGACAGGCTATCATTCACTAAGCACATTATAAATTGAAGTCTTCTCTTCTAAGGGGGAGCACCTGAGGTCCCTGGCTGGTCTCCGAGACACACCCTAACTTCCCAGGATCACTCATTGGAATCATTTCCTACGGGAAAGATTCCCACAGTGGGCAGTCTCCTTCATTTATAAGTCTTCTATTCATTTTTGAGTTAGAGTTGTCATTTCCTTACTTTGTCATCCAATAGAATGGAAATGATTCTGAATCTTCAGGTGAATCTGTCCTAAGTGTCTTAGATGCACACACTGTGTTCAATACAGGAAACTGGATTTAGACATAAAAATAGGAGATAGAACACTTTTGCTTTTAATAGGTTTACACTCTGAATCCAATGGATCTCCACACCAGTATGATTATAAAGTACTGTATGGTACGATAAAAGAGTAATCCAATGCCAAGAGCACAAGGGGTAAGGCTCACGAACTTCCCACTGTTGGTCTCTGTCATGGAGTAGTAAGACACATGGTAGGATCTATGAATGCACCCTTCCTGGAAAAAAGGTTTCCACAGAAATACTTAAATATCCTGAAAAGAGATCATCCTCAGTTATGTAGGGGCCCTAAGGCCAATGACAAGCACCCTTATAAAAGACAAAGAACACCCAGCATGGTGGTGCATACTTGTAATCCCAGAACTCACTGGGAGTGCAGGGGTGGGGGGCGCGGGGGAAGCTGAGCTAGAGGATCACTGAGAGTTTGAGGTCAGCTGGAGTTGAGTAGTGAGAAAAAAAAAGAAAAAAGAAAAATGCCTGCTAAACATCACTCCCTTATTCAAATCACGGACTTGTTCTCCAGCCTTTTTAGCATAAGAGCTGAAGCATTCCTAGTGTCTTGCAATGTGTCCATGGTTAGCCATCATCCTTTGCCACCTCTTCTTCATGCTCATGAATATTATGAGCTTAAAATGGCCCTTGCTTTTGGTGAGTGCTCTGACCTCATGTCCTACCTCTCTTCTGTCACCTGCTTCTCCAGCCACAGGGGCTTCCTGTTCCCCACCTGCTGCCCATACATTAGGGGCCTTGGGCTGATTTTTCATTCTGTTGAAAAGTCACCTTTTAAGAAACAAATACCTTCACTTTATATTAAAAAGAAAATGTGCTTCCTTGTCTTCCCACTTTTCCTTTCTAATTGAAATGTCTTAAGTGTCTGCCAGTGGGCACAGGAAGATAACCCCGAAACAGGCAGAATCTGGCATTTTTTGAACCAGTATCATCAAGGTGGGTGAGGACTGCTCTGATCTTTTCTGAAGCCTACACATCAGAGGCAGTCCCAGGGGCTGGGAATTTGGCTCAGAGGTAGAACACTTGCCCAGTGAGCTGGAAGCCTTGGGTTCGGTCTGCAGCACCGAAAACAAAAAATAAACCCTCACTGAAAAACAATTCATTATAAAAATTTTTTTTTTATATCCTCCTTTTTGGTTTGGTTTTGTCATAGATGGTTGTTCCATTGCTGTTAGAGAGCTTGTATTTGGAGAAGTCTTAAAAGGACCTTTTCATACTTGATGCCAGTCCAAATGTTGTAGGATCTTGAATTCAGGAAAATAACCCAATATAGTCCAACAGTCCATAATAGTAGTGAGTTACCAGCACAACTGGCAATTGTAGTGAAAAAAATATATACACATATACAAGGTAGTGAGGATACATATACAGCTACTTTCTCTTAGTTCAATGAGAAGAAAGGTTTCTACTAACATTGTTAAGACAAGAGATCACGTCTTCATCTTGTCCTCTGAATAACTACTAGGAAGACAACAATACAGCAATACTGGAAAATGAATTCACGCTACCAACAGCCTTTGGATTTGGGTTTATTTATGATGTCAAAACAGATGGCTATTACAAACTAGATAGTATAATAATATTTAATGACATGGAAATAGTTCAATATACATTAAGCGACAAATTTATTTATACATTAGGAAATATTGCAAATTCTAATATGAACTATAATAGAAATAATGTATAAGAATTTATGTAAAAACAATTATATGTATAAAATTATATGGAATAAACATAAAAAAATTCAAATTAACAATGACACTCACTGTTTCTTGGGATGCCATTTAGTATTAATTATTGTAATGGTCCTACTAACCTGTTTTGAAACTGTTTCATTGCTATTTTATCTTTTTTTTCTCATTAAAAATTGAGCAAAAAATTTAAAAAAATTGAATTCAACCAAAAACAAATACAATAAAATAAAAAAGACCAAAACAAACAAGGCAACAGAGGCAGTCACATCCCTTTTGATTGTAGTCAGAAAGGTTAAGCAACATGTTGGTTAAGAAACCAAAAAGTCGTGGCTTCTGTTCCTGCTCGCGACAGCTTTTTTCATATCTGGTGACTCCCTACGTCTCTAACAATAAAAGACACTGCAGAGAGGGAACTTTTAGTATAATACGGTTTCTGCTCAATGCAAACAAAAGACAAGTATAACCATGAAGAAGTAGAAATTCAAAAGACCTACGAAACTAAACGGCATTCTAAGAAACAGTAAGTGTCATTGTTAATTTGGATTTATTTTTATGTTTATTCCATATAATTTTATACAAAGAATTCTTTTTGCATAAATTCTTATACATTATTTCTATTATAGTTCACATTAGAATTTGCAATATTTCCTAATGTATACATAAACTTATCTCTTAATGTATATTGAACTATTTCCATGTCATTAAATATTATACTATCTAGTTTGTAATAGCCATATGTTTTTATGTCATAAATAAGCCCAAATTCAAATACTGTTCGTAGTGTGAATTCCATTTTCCAGTATTACAAAAATTCCTATTAGAAATACACTTTTACATTTACAGTAAGAACTAGGATAAACTTTCAGAAATTTTACAAATGTATGAACCCACCAGCAACTTTAAAATTTTAAAAACTTATTTTTAAATTTTTGACAATTTTTGTATCGAAAAAGGTATTTAAATATTGATTAAAAATTTATTTATGTCATTTTCAATATCAATTACATAATTACATACCTTCTGCTACTGATGTCATAAATTCTACTAAAGTACTTATAAATAGTCCTCTTTTTACTTTAAAAATAGCACTTACCTTTATTCTTCAATTTCCTGCTAAGATCTATTAGTTTCTCCATATTATCTTTTTCATTTCTAGTTTTTTCATATAAAATATTTTAATGTTTAGCATACATATCATAAATTATAGAAATAAAAAATTATTTGTTTGAATTTTTACAGACTTCAACATAGTTATATAAACATCACTCAGAACAAGAAATGAAACATCTGAAGAATTGTAATTGTTTTAAAAATTAATCAATTAATTAATTAGGTTCAGGATCTCATTATGTAGCTCAGACTCATAGTGATCTTCCAGTGTCAGCTCTTCAGCACTGAGATTAAAGGTGCATGCCACCATGCTGACCTTTGGGCTTGTAAGGTGGGCAAGGGGCTCCAGGGTCTGCATGGCATGTGGTACTGGGGATGGAACTTGGGACCTTGAGTTTTCCAGGCAGATGTGTAAACTGTCAAGCTGTCTTCCTAGCCTACTAGGAGAAATTTAGACATTCCTCTTGACTCCATGACAATTAGCAGACTCCTCTACCTGTATGCTCAATGGCAGCTCAACCAGTGGCTTCACAATACAAATATTTAGCCTCCTCTCCAAAGCATTCTTTGCATTCTGTCATAGGTACAGGAATCTTTTGTACCACATGATAGACCTGTGACTCATTTGACTACCTTCTGAAACCTCAACTCCCCTGCTTAAGGTCCCGGGTTTTAAAATTTGAACCTACTCTGCTGGTTACTGCTGTCTGGATTAACCTTTCAAATAACTTCTTAGTCTAACTTTTCTCACCACAACTAAGATGTTGGGCCTTCTTGAAATAGTTTAGCTCTACTCTAAGCTATAGGACACAGATCAGTCCTAGTTAACAGATTTTGGAAATGTCTTCTGTGTAACAAAGGTGACTTTTTTTTTTTTTAAATGTATTTGGTTGTTACAGGGTCTCACTATGAAGCTTGGACTCATAGTTATCCTCCTGTTTTCAGCCTCCCAGGCCTGGGATTACAGGTGCGCACCACTATGCCTGAACTCTGTGGCTAGCTCTGTGTGCCTGGGGATGGGGCTGGCTCAGCATGTGGTGCCAGAGATCGAACCATGGTCGCTGTGCTTGCCTCAGCTTGCCTAAGCAGGTGCTTTAGTCTGCTACTGGCCCCTAACATACATTTAGTTTGTAAAAGTATTAACAGCATAATTTTTTTTTTTTTTTTTTTTTTGTATTTTAGGAAACGGTCTACAGGGTGTTCAGAGTCCCACTACTAGATCAGACTCTAGTGATCTGTCTGTTTACAGCTTCCCAAGTGCTGGGATTACAGGCGCGTGCCACCATGCCCAGTCTCAATTTCAGTCTCAAGGTGTCCTGGGGGCGGAGCCCGCATGGCAGGCCTGGGGAATGAACTATTTGGCTGGCCCTAACAGCATAAAATATTTACTGAATTAAATTTTCTACTTCTTTTCCTGATTTCCCCTGTTGACCTCTTCGAACTTGCTTGCTTGGAAAGTTTTCATACGTCTTCTCTGTCTTAAGATTTGTAAAAAGAATTATTATTTCATTTCTTCTCTGAACTTCTGCATCAAATTATCCACACAGTTCTTGATTCTGTATATTCTGAAAAGTATTTGATAAGCACCTCTCATGACATCCTTCATAGTCTGAGGGAGGTCATAGATATCTCTGTGTCTTATCTGCCTTAGGCCATATCTCTGGCCCATTTTCCTTCCCTCCCCCAAATCGATAAAAGAGACTGACTACTCAGATGCATGTATACTCCTGAGAAGGAGAGGCAGGCAGACCACACATAGCTCCAGAGGCCTGCTGGCACCCCACTGTCTTCACTTTCAGGTAGGTGAGCTCTAGACTCTACAGAGATGTTCTAGAGTCTAGCATTGCCAGACAGACTTCTCCAGACCCTTCCTATCTGAAATAAGTGTTTCTGGTTTTTTTTTTTTTGAGAAAAGAAAAGAAATAGATTTTCATTGGGACTATTCACTTAAACACACCCAGGCCCTTTGTGGGCCATTCCAAGCACTGAGACAGCAGGAAGACCTTCCTTAAGTGTGCAAAGAGGATTTGTCCCAGGGCTTCTCTCACATCTCCAGAAGGCCTTCTCTGCGCATGCTATGTTGATTCTGAGGGTTGGGGAAGAATCAAGAGAATAGCTTAGCATAATTAGATTTGGTGGGCAGTAGGGGAGCAGTTTGTTTTTCTGTGAGGAACTTTTACTTGGCTATGTCTTATAAACATCTCCAAAGGTTTCTTTTACAGTTTCGATAAAATGCCTTTCCTCAAATCATGGATCAAAATTATTTTCATCACTGCCGTGGCATTTTTTATTTTTTCTGGTGAGTAAGTTCTGTCATCTCTGGGAAGCATGAAATGCATGAAAAAACTGTAGTGGTCCAGGAAAAGTTGAGCTTGTTTCATTGGGTTTGGAATGCTTTGACTGGTGAGATCAATTAGGCATGTTACAACACCTTTTAAAAATGCATCAGTGAGTTGCTAGCTCTTAGTTCCCAACTTGAAAATGGAGAGGGAAAGAACTCAATTAGAGTGGCTAGTGGAAGCTGGGTAAAGTGGTGTGCACCTGCAGTCTCACCTCTGATGCCTGAGGGTGGGGATCCCTGAAGTTTAGGCATTTAAAACTTGACTAGGCAACATGAAGTCCCACTCTTCTTCTGTTCTGTTCTGTTCTGTTCTGTTCTGTTCTGTTCTGTTCTGTTCTGTTCTGTTCTGTTCTCGTCTCGTCTCGTCTCGTCTCGTCTCGTCATCTTCTCTTCTCTTCTCTTCTCTTCTCTTCTCTTCTCTTCTCTTCTCTTCTCTTCTCTTCTCTTCTCTTCTCTTCT